CCAGATTTCATTCTTTCTCATTGCCATGTAGTATTCCATGGTATAGATAAACCACATCTTCTTGATCCATTCGTCCGTTGATGGACACTTAGGCTCTTTCCATGTTTTAGCTATTGTGGAGAGTGCTGCTATGAACATTGGGGTACATGTGCTGCTATGCATCAGCATTTCTGTATCCCTTGGGTAAATTCCTAGCAGTGCTATTGCTGGGTCATAGGGGAGTTCTATTGTTAGTGTCCTGAGGAACCTCCACACTGTTTTCCAGAGGGGCTGTACCCGTTTACATTCCCACCAATAGTGTAGGAGGGTGCCCGTTTCTCCACATCCTCGCCAGCATCTAGAGTTCTCTGATTTGCTCATTTTAGCCACTCTGACTGGCGTGAGGTGGTATCTCAGTGTGGTTTTGATTTGTATTTCCCTGATGAGGAGGGATGCTGAGCATCGTTTCATGTGTCTGTTGGCCATCTGGATGTCTCTTTGGAGAAGTGTCTGTTCATATCTTCTGCCCATTTCTTCACTGGGTTCTTTGTTTTTCGGGCGTGTAGTTTGGTGAGTTCCTTACAGATTCTGGATATTAACCCTTTATCTGATATGTCATTTGCAACTATCTTTTCCCATTCCGTTGGTTGCCTATTAGTTTTGTGGGTTGTTTCCTTTGCTGTGCAGAAGCTTTTAATCTTGATGAGGTCCCAATCTTTTATTTTTGCTCTTGTTTCCTTTGCTTTTGGGGATGTGTCAAGTAAGAAGTTGCTGCGGTGGAGGTCAAGGAGGTTGTTTCCTGCTTTCTCCTCTAGGGTGTTGATAGTTTCCTGTCTCACGTTCAAGAAAAACATTTTTAAGTTAAAAAATTACTGATTTTCAAAGTTGGAGGACTTAACCAGTGTATTTCATGATTTACTATAAAACTACAGTAGTTAATACAGAGTACTTTTGGAAGAGAGAGGGTCAGATACACCGCTGGAACAGAATAGTCTATAAATAGACTCACAGATGTATGCTTTCTTGAGTTACATCAGAAGTGCCACTGTAATTACATAAGGGAGTGGTGTTTGAACAACTGGATATATTTGGGGAAAAATGAAACCTGACTCTCTATACACAAAATTTCTTATATAAGCATATCATAGATTAAATTCAAAAGCTAAAACAATTCAACTTCCAAATTTTATTGTATTTTTTAAGTAGACTCCATATGGGGCTTAGACTCATGACCCTGAGATCAATAGTCACATGCTCTACTGACTGAGCCAGCCAGGCACCTCCCACCTCCCCAAAACAATCCAACTTCCAAATAAAAACATAGGAGAATATTTTCCTAATATTGGGGTAGGTAAAGATTTCTTAATCTGGTCACAAAATGAACTAAACTAAAAAAGGGAAATTGATACATTTTGGATTTAATTAAAATTAAGAACATCTGATCATAAAAAACATCATTAAGAAAGTAAATAAGCAAGTTGTAGACTGGAGAACTCGTACACAGAATATATGAAGAACTACAATAAGCAAAAGACATTCAGTTTTAAAATGAGCAAAAGAGGGGCACCTGGGTGGCTCAGTCGGTTAACCCTTCGACTTCGGCTCAGGTCATGATCTCACTTCGGCTCAGGTCATGATCTCACTTCGGCTCAGGTCATGATCTCACGGTTCATGGGTTCAAGCTCTGTGTCAGGCTCTGTGCTGACAGCTAGCTCAGCCTGTCTTGAGATTCTGTCTCTCCCATCCTCGCACTCTCAAAAAAATATAAATAAAAAACATAAAAATTTTTTAAATAAAATGAGCAAAAGATTTAACAAGCATTTCATGAAAGAGGCCATTCAGTGGCCAATTAACATATTTAAAGGTAATCAGAATAACATCAAAGAAATGCAAATTAAAACCATAGTAACACAATCAGCAGAATGGATAAAAACATGTTAAACTGCAATTACCAAATGTCACTGAGGATATGGAGTAACTGGAACTCTCATACATTATTTGGCAATCTCTAATAAATCCAAACATACACCTGCTGCGAGACATATGCTCAAGACGTAACAATTCTACATCCTGACATATGCTCAAGAAAAAGTAGTTCGTATATCCACTGAATACTGCTGGAATGTTGCTGGAATACTATCAGCATTAATAAAAATGAAAAGACTGTGAATATACAGAATGACATTATGAATCTCAAAAACTGTGCAGAGAGAAAAGAGCCGGTCACAAAAGAATACATGCTATATGATTCCATTCATATAAAGTTTAGGAACAAGTGAAACTGATCTATGATGATTAGGGCCCCTGGGTGGCTCAGTCAGTTAAGCATCTGACTTCAGCTCAGGTCATGATCTCACAATTTGTAGGTTCTAATTCCACATAGAGCTCTCTGATATCAGCACAGAGCCCACTTCAGATCTTGTCCCCATCTGTCTCTGCCCCTCCCCCCTCTTAAAAATAAAAAATAAACATTAAAAAAAAAACACCCTAATCTATGATGATAGAATAATGGTTACCTCTGTGGATTAGGTAGTGATTAAATGAGGCACAATGAATCCTTCCAGGGTGATGGAAATGGCTTATATCTTGAACTACATGGAGGTTTTATATATGTATATGAAAATTAAGCTGCGTGTTTAGTTTGTGTGCTTTCTGTATGTATATTATGCCTTAGTAAAAAAATAATTTTAAATAAAAAAATTACTGAGGACCCCCAGAGAGCCTTTATGTGAGTTATATCTATAAAATCTTACCATACTTGAAATTGAAATGGAGAAATTTTAAGTATTACTAACTCATTTTAAGTAAGTCATTACATATTAAATAATATCATTACAAGAAATGACTATATTTACTAAAACAAAAAGATTTTAGAAGTGGCATTATTTTACATGTTTGCAAATTTATTTAATGTCTGGCTTAAAAAAGAGCTGATTCTCAAACCTGCTTCTGCATCTAATTTGTTAAAATACCATGTCATGCAGCCTTTTGGAAACTCTTCTGTACACATATTGGAGAAAATGAGTAAAAAGACAAATAACAGCTTATGATAATAGTTTTGACCTCATGATCCTCTGAAAGAGTCTCTGAGCCCCCTAGAGTGCCCCATGACTACATATTGGGAACTGTTGCTCTGACCTGCACACCTATGCTGCCTCTTTAGTGTGCTGTGAGAAGACAAGTGAAATGCCCAAGTTTAGAATGGGTTTCACGTTAGCTACTGTTTATTATACAGCTTTGTTAGTATCGTTCTCATTTTTCACAGTTCTGTTCCCTGCCTCCCTTACATCTTCTAGGATCAGTAGCTGTGGAGACTTTTTTCTCTCACCCTTCCCCTCTCTAGTGGAGGCCATATTCCAGCAGGCAGGGGGATGAAAGCACTAGGACACATGAGCATGGTAGGAGCTGAGCTCCATTTCAAGGTAACCTTGATCACTCTACCGTTTAGGTTAATTATCATCATAATTTGCTTCTAGAATAAGACTTTGTTTTATCTTTGAACTAAAAGGTCACCCCTGGGACCAAATGGCAAGCACCTTAGGCAATGACTGGATAACCTCAGCTATCTTATACCAGTTCTCATTATTGTCCTCTCCAGTGTCAGGGCTGCTGTCAGGTCCTTGACTGGCATGCCCCTGCTTTCTTAGTGTGTTTTTAGTTACAGTTTAGAGCTGCTGCGTACAGCCAGATGACTGTTAGCAAGATACTGACTGACTTTCTGAAATGTATCTAATGTGAGAGAGTGAGACATATACTTAAGAATAATTTTTTCTAATATTTTATTATGAAAAATTTCAAACATACAGGAAAGTTGAAAGAATTTTATACCAAATACCCATGTACTCACTATCTAGATTTTATGATTTACATTTTACTATTGTTGCTTTATTACATATATGTATCTACTTATCAATCCCTCTATCCATTCCATTAATCATCTTATTTTTTATATATTTCAAAGTAAGTTGCAGACGTAAATATACTTCACCCCTCAACAATTCATGTGTGTACTTAACTAGAGCTTAACATTTGCTTATGGGGTTTTTTTTAAAGTAAAATTCATATACAGTTTACTCAAAGACTTGAAAACTTATGTTCACACAAAAACCTGCACACAGATGTTTACAGCAGCTTTATTCATAATCGACAAGACTTGGAAGCACCCAAGATGCCATTTAGTAGGTGAATGCATAAACGAACTACAGTATATCCAGATAATGGAATATTTCTTAACACTAAAAGGAAATGAGTTATCAAGCCATGAAAAGACATGGAGGAAACTTAAATGCATAAAAACTTCATACTATATGATTTCAGCTATATGGCTTGCTGGAAAAGGCAAAACTATGAAGACAGTAAAAAGTTTGCCAGAGGGGCAAGTGGGGGGTGGGGTGGGAGTGGGATGGTGAATAGGTGGAGCACAGAGGTTTTTTAGAGCAGTGAAAATATTCTGCATGATACTATAATGGTGAATACATGTCATTGTACATTTATCCAAACCCATAGAATATAAAAAACCAATAGTGAACCCTAATGTAAACCACAGACTTCGGGTATTTATGATGTGTCAACGTAGATTCATCAGTTATAACAAATGCATAATTCTGGTGATTGATATTGATAATAGGGGAGGCTGTACATGTGTAGGGGCAAGGGATATATGGGAAATCTCTGTATCTGCCTTTCAGTTTTGCTGTGAACCTAACATTACTGCCCCCTCCCCCAAAATTAAGTCTTTAAAAAAATTAGTCAAGTCAGGAGAATGAGCTCTGTAGAAGACAAGGACTGCTGTTCATTAAAAAAAAAAAAAAAAAAATCACATCCAGTGAGGTGGACAAATCATAATTGCACCATTTGATGAATTTTGACACCATTTTGTGAATCATATTCACATAGGTATTCTATAATGAATCATAAAATATACCTATCATCCCAGAGAGTTATTTCATGGCCCTACTCAGTCAATCTTGTCCCTACCATACTCCTAGAGGCAGCACCTGTTTTCAGAATTTTTTTTTTTTCAGGGGAAAGTGCGAACACAGTCCCTCACCACCACAAATTATGCAATCGAATTTCCCACATTTGGGGAAATGTGCAGGGGTCAGCACATTCCGAGTGCAATAGATAACCCTTGCCCTGGGAAAACCACCTTCTTGATCATGGTATCTCCCCTGACAGGTAAGTATCAGAATAATTTTTAAAGTACCCAGTGAAATTCTTTTTTGGGAAATCTCTGGATTATTTAGGCCCATTGTACTGGTAACAGGCTCTATAGAAGTTACAGAAAATTTCCAGTCTTAACTTAGATGATAATAGATACTTTGTAAATGTGACTCTTTTTTCCTAAAAGTTATTTTAAATTATGAAAAGGAGGAGAACTGATCTTCAAGCTGCAAAAGGTATTCAGTACAAGTATTTTAATACTAATTGCATAGATCTTGGGAAAAATAAATTTAATGGGTAAAACTTTCAAAAGAAAATTAAAAAACAAGTCACTGTCACTCATTCAGGTATATCAGTAGTCCATTGAAAGTGAACCTTTCAATGTATTATGCATGGTGACAAGGAAGCTGCCAGGCTTAAGATACTATTAAAATACTATTAAGATACTATTAAAACCTTGTGACAATAAACCAGACTGGCCTCAGGGCCTGTGTCCTGGACATCAGCACTCCAGGCAGTTTGGAACCTTACAGAGCTAGTGAAAAATACTTCCTGCAGTGCTCAATTATATACATCTTGAGGATTGAGGATAAACTCCATATCAAAAGAAGGCTTGAATCCCAAACAAGTATTGAGTGGCTCTCACTTCTTTCTTCTTTTGTCCCACTAAAATGGTTTTGTAGTGCATGGATAATTGTGAGAACACTTACTTATTAAAAACTATAAGTGTGTCCATGTGGAGCATGTGAGGATGAAAATAGAATTCCCAGTTTCAAGGGGTTTGCAATTGTCAGAGAGGCAGAATTTCCTCTGCCCTTCAAGGTCCTTCTAGCTGGACTAAAAATCAAATTGATATGAGACAGATTAACAAGAGAAAATAAAATTTAATTTCACATGTACTGGGAATCCACACAGATACAAAATTCCAGGGACAATCAGGCAAAATGAGATATATATGTCATTTAGAACTAAGGATACAGGGGCAGGGGCCTGGGACTTCACATGGAAGGAATGTAATTCACAGGAAGATGAAAAAGAGTAAATGTTTGATAAACAAATGTTTTCTGGGCCACTGGGAAACATTGGGAAACAATAGGACACAAAGGACACTGATCAAATAGGCCTTGCTGCGTTCCTCCCTGTCTGCTATACCTTGTTCATATCATAATGTAGTTGTCTATGGTAATAACTCTCTTCCCAGAGCAAGTCCTCTATCTAAATTCTTTTTAGGCAGTTGAGGGGGGAGGTAAAGAGTTTTTCCTGAATCTGCTAGGTTTTGATTGCTTTTTAACTCAAAGTAAACTTCATGCCAAAGTGGCCCTTCTTTGGGTGGCCTGCCCTTTGGCACTTCCACTAAGTAGTTTTGGGCTTTATAGGGTGAAACAGAGAAGAATTCTGACTAAGAGGGTTGGAATGATGGAGAAGGGACTCGTGGAAGAAGGAAAATTTGGATCAAGTCTTGAAAGATTAGTAAGATTTTTGACAAATATGGATGAGAAGAAAGAGCCAACCATTTTTCATACTGTAGTCTGAATGATTTTTCTGAAGCACAAATCTGATCATTGAATTCCTTTGCCTGAAGCCCTTCAGTGATGATAAATATCAACACTCACTTTGTTTTGTGAGATAATGGTGCCTGGCACACAGTGGATGAGGAAACTGAGGCCTAGTAGAGGCCATGTCATCCTCAAAGCCAGTGATTAATGGTTCAGTGCCCCTACAGAATACTCCTCTCCTGAGGCACCTCAGCTGCCAATCTTGGTTAAAAAATAATAATAATAAAAATATATGTATATAAGTATGTATATGTGTGTGTAAGTATGTATGTATACAGCATCCTAATAATAGAAACTTAAGTTGATAAAAAATATTTTTCATGACTCATTAGCAAATCTTATAGAAAACAATAGAGGGACTTTTAATCAGATTAGTCAATAATGAAATAAAGGTGCTTGCTATTGCTGTTCTTTTAACATTGTTTTAGATTCTAAGATCTAGGGATGAGAAAAAGAAATGAGGTCTAAATATTAGGAAAAGCCGTAATATTTGCAGGTGACAGTTATCTAAATAGGAGTCCAAGGAAACTGAGTAAAAACAATATTTAGAACTAATAAGATTTAGGGGTGTCTGGGTGGCTCAGTCAGTTAAGTGTCTGACTTCAGCTCAGATCATGATCTCACAGTTTGTGAGTTCAAGCCCCATGATGGACTCTGTGCTGACAGCTCAGAGCCTGGAGCATGCTTCAGAATCTGTCTCCTCCTCTTTCTGCCCCTTCCCCAGTTGCACTCTGTCTGTCTGTCTCTATCTCTCAAAAACAAATAATAAACACATTTTAAAAACTAGTAAGATTTAACAAGAAGTTAGAAATAAGGTAAATATAGTTTTCCTATGTATTAGCAACAACCAGTTACAAATATAACAGGAAGAAAATCTCGTTTACAATATCACTAAAAACTAAAATACCTAAGAAACACATTTTAAAATAAAAAAATAATCAGGTTTTTAATGCTTACTGAAATATATTCGTGGACAGTAAAACTATTTTTTTGGTTAAGATTTTATTTTTATGTAATCTTCACAACATGGCTCTCAAATTTACAACATCAAGGTCACATTCGCCATCAACTGAGCCAGTCAGGTGCCCCAAACAAACCACTTAAAAATATTTAAGTGGGGTGCCTGGATGGCTCAGTTGGTTAAGCGTCTGACTTCGGCTCAGGTCATGATCTCACGGTTCGTGGGTTTGAGCCCTGCATTGGGCTCTGTGCCGATTGCCAGCTCAGAGCCTAGAACCTGTTTCAGATTCTGTGTCTCCCTCTCTCTCTCTGATCCTCCCCTGCTCACGCTGTCTCTCTCTCTTAGAAATAAATAAAACATTAAAAAAAGAAGAAAGAAAGAAAGAAAGAAACCCAGATAAAACTCTGAAAATTGAAGAAATAATTTTTTATGTCAAAATTCTACTTTCAGACACAGGTAGAGGTTCATTATCCAAGACATTGCAGAATGGAATTGTAAGCCTGACATGTTTCCCTGTCACATCTAGAAGAAACTGTTCATCGCCAGAAAGAAAAGAACCTTCTTACAGCCAATCTCTAGCACTCATGGATCCCAGCTGGAGGTAAAACTGTTTCTTCACTTCCTCATTTGATTAATTTTTAGTTTCTCCCTAGAGTCACCTTCAAAGGATTCCTGGATACTCCTTTCTCTTCCAAGTTTCCCTCCCCTTTGTGTGCCTACTTTGCCCCACTGCCACCCCATCCCAGGCTGGGTTTCTGGTTCCACTGTGGACTGTAGAAACAGTCCCAAGCCCTCAGTTCTTCAAAGTGGAGCATGTACCAGACCAAGAAACCTTTCTCTTAAGGTTTCTGATAGCTCCTAGCATCTGTTTCTTCCCTTTTTTTTTTTTTTTTTTTTTTTTTAGAGTAGTCTTCACACTCAGCTTGGAGCCTAAATGGGACTTGAACTCATGACCATGAGAGATCAAGACTTGAGCTGAGATCAGGAGTCAGACACTAAAACCGACTAAACCACCCAGACATCCACCCTCTTATCTTTTTTTCTCCCAGCACATACTTCTGTGACTTGTGCTAAGTGGCTCTCTTACATGGTAGAAAAGGGAAGAAATCCAGGGGTCTTAGGAAACAGGGAAGCCTTTACTTCCACAAAGTCAAACCACATACTATACCTTTAGGGCTGACATAAGAGGTAATTGCATGTTTGGATACTGGTAGGCTTTCACAATGATGGATGATAATGTACACTTTGTCTCAGAAAAAACTATGATCACTTAGGGAACTAAATTTGCTAACAGAATTATGACATACTACACCAAAGGAATATTAAGAGACAGTAGAAATTGTTGGATATAGAAATATTTGTAAATAAATGTATATATATGGGTTAGTATACACATATGTATTTCCTAGATCTGCTGAGAGGACCAAACAGCAATGACACTCCAGTAGCATTGAGCACATCTAATGCTCAGATCTTGGTTTCCTTTTATTTTTAATGTTTTATTTATTTTGAGAGCAAGTAAGAGTAAGTAGAGGAGGGACAGAGGGAGAGAAAGGGAGAGAATTGAATTTCAAGCAGGCTCCACGCTGTCAGCTCCATCCCACCAGCCGTGAGATCATGACCTGAGCCAAAATCAAGAGTTGATGCTTAACTAAGCCACCCTGGTGCCCCAACTTTTTTTCTTTTTTTAAAGCTCTGTGGCCAACATCGGGCTTGAACTCACAACCACAAGATCAAGAGTTGCATGCTCTCCTTACTGAGCCAGCCAGAGCCCCTAGAGTTTGGTTTTAATTCTGTTCTCTAATAAAAGGAACCAGGGCACCTAAGAGAAATGGCTGATTCTAGGACTGGGATAGGAAATATATAAGATGAGCCTTTTATTTTTTTTTTTAATTTTTTAAACTTTTTAAAAAAATTTTTTAATGTTTTATTTATTTCTAGGAGAGAGAGAGAGAGCGTGAACAGGGGAGGGTCAGAGAGAGAGGGAGTCACAGACTGAAACAGGCTCCAGGCTCTGAGGTAGCAGTCAGCACAGAGCCCGACGCCGGGCTCGAACCCACGAACCGCGAGATCATGACCTAAGCGAAAGTCGGACGCTTAACCGACTAAGCCACCCAGGCGCCCCAAGATGAGCCTTTTATAAGGCAGAAAGTAAGGAAGTACTCATCAGACAAAATAAACAAAAAAAAACCCAACAAAGATGGCATATGCCAAAGGGCACAGGAGCCAACTGGAAAAGCTCCCAGTGGCCAAAACTGGAACAATTGAAATAACAAAAATAAAGTAGGGAATTAAATGTGCCATAAGGATTAGAAAGGTTATTACTACACCATAGAATGTCAAAGAGACTGTAGAGATTGTCACATGTAGAAATATTATAATTCATCAGTGCAGAAGCCTAATAGTACCCAAGCAGGTGAATAAACTTTATGTCAGCCCTAAAGGAGTATGAAGTATAAAGTAAATATCCATGAGCCCATACTGATATTAATCAATGACTGTATAA